TAAAAAATAAAATAAGTCGTCCACTAGGGCTCAACTTGCCCCCATATACTCGTTTTTATCTTTTTATTTGTGTCATATTCGGATGTGTGGCTGCTATTTTAAAAGATGAATTAACCGGAATAGTCTCTAATCACTTAAACTAAAAATTGTTGGTGAAAGTATAATATATGTATAATTATGTATAATCAATGCATAATTTGTTTATATGACTAAAAAAGATAAACAATGAATATAACTAACTATTTATATAAAAATCCCATTTTAAAAGATGCTACTCTCTTTCTATTTTCTTTTTTTTTTTTAAAAGTATTTGGGATACAGGTGAGCTCGGGAATAAACGAGAGAGAAAAGTAGTTAGAACTTAGAAGTCATGGTTTGAGATTAAGCACGAGTTTGACCATAGATTTTGGGTGTATTTTTTCCAAAGAAAAATAAAATGAAAATACTGCTTGTTCATGGAACGTGATCAGTTTTTGAATAAAAATTAATTTTTTTAAAAGTTTCCAGAAACTAATTTAGCGCTGTTTTTGAGTGAACTTTTTTCTTTCACTCATAAAACTTTAAGTTTTTTTTTTCAAAAAAAGTATAATTTCAAATATAACTTTAACTTCCAAATTATTTTTCGACACAATTTCAAAAGCTCCTTTTTAATTTTTAATCAAATCTATATCCAAACGCTAGCTGAAAAGGTATCACATCATCAAACTTAAAATACTAGCTTGTAAAGTATTAACTATCTATATTATATTATATTATATTAAAAGGAGAGTAGTATGCATTGTGGTTAAGCCAAGTGGCAAGCAAAAATGAAGCCACTTGGCAATTTTAGGACAACATTAATAATTAAAAATTATAAATAGAAACATAATTAATGGAAGTAGTTTAATGAATCCTATACAATACATAATCTAAATAGATCTTAGACAAATCTAATCTATATATTTATATTTATATTTATATTTATATTTATATTTATATGTATATGTATATTTGTATCTATATATTGATCCAGATTTTTCTTTTATATTAGCTAGAAATAAAGAGGTAAAAAATTAATTAAATAAATATAATAGAAAAAATAAAAAAAATAGAGATATNAGAGATACGTAAATTGAGATAACTTATGATTATTTATATTTTGGAGTAAGTTAAAATATAAAATAAAACTAAAATTTATTTAAGATATTAAAGATTTATTGAGTTTAAAAATTTTAAAAATTCAAGCAGCAAAATAAGATCTTATATAAAGTATACAAATTATTTATAAGGTAAGAAAAAAAATTAAAGAATCAGTAAAAATATTTTAATAACATGAATAATAAAGTCATATTAATATTATCGGGCAAACAAATATTTTATACGTAAATATTACTATATTATTTAGATATAATGGGTTCAAACAATTAAGAAAATATTTTTATATGATTAATATTTGAATTGAGTTTAGTTAGTTTAAGTTTGAAAGCATAACATGAATTTTTAAAATGCGGTCCAATTTAGAAAATAGAATGATAAAAAAATATTTGAAGTTGAGATGGGAAAGTTATTTAATTTTTATCTATATTATATTAGAATAAGTGTGACAGAAATATATATTAAATTCAAACAAGCTAATAAAAATTCACATGACAATGTATTAATATTAGGAATTGAATAATATAATATAAAAAATACAGACTAAATAGAGAAAAAATATAAATTCAGATTTTTTATCATAGAAAAACAGGGTAAAAATAATTTAAATTTGAGATAAGAAAGTCTTTTATATTGTGATAAGAAAAGTCATAATATGGGTAAGTCCACGTAACTCAAGTCTAATATACAAAATCAAAAACTAATAATATTGAATAATAAAAATAAATTAGAGATAATGTGAGGATATGTATAAATCATAAGTTTAGAAAATAAAATAAAGTAAATATACAATACTTAAAAATATTATTAAAATTTAAATAATTTAAAATTTTCAAGCAATATTTTTAAATCAAAATAAATATTTATTTAATGATTAAAAAATTATATATTTATCTATATTATATTAAATAATAGTAGTTGATAATGATATTAAATAAAGTTACAAGTTAATGAAAAGCCACACAAAAACGTAATAAGACTATATATCAGTTTAAAAAATAGCAAAATTACGTTAAATTATTAAAAATGTACTAATCGAAATGAAAGGGAAAGATTATTTGAGATTAGAAAGTTCTTAAAACTATGATGAGAATGCTCAAACTATAGATAATACCACAAAATTGAAGTCTTATTTATGAAAAATAAAATAAAAAATAAAATAAAAAATAAAAAATAAAAATTTAAAAATAAAAAATAAATTTATATATAGGTAATTTTACTAATAAAAATTAAAAATTAATTTTGTATCTTAAAACTAAAAAAGAAAGAAAATTTATATAAAGAAATAATATGACACTAAAAATATTGCTACAACATTCAGATATAATAGGTTCAAAATAATTAAGAAATATTTTTTATGATTAAAATAAAATTTTAAAAATACAAAATAAAATTCGAATATAGGTAATTTTACTAATAAAATTAAAAATTAAATTTTCATCTTAACGATAAAAAAGAAAGAAAATTTAACTANAATATTTTTTAAATATATTTTTCAGTTTTATTTTTTTTATTTATCGGTTTAAATGTTCAAAATTTTACAAGTTTCAAAGTTATGAGTTCGGAGGTTTATGTGTTTGAAAATTTACGGGCTTAGAAATTATAAAGTTTACGGGTTCAAAATTCTACGGTTTTGAAAGTTTAGCGGTTCGAAAGTTTATGAAATTTGTGGGTTCGGAAGATTATTGGTTTGAAAGTTTATGGCTTCATGTTTATTATATCTAAATTATTTATGAATATTCTTGAGAAGTCATTTTCCTTAATTTGCGTACCAAACACCGGAAAATGAATAAGATTACTACTTATTTTCCACGGAAAACATTTTGCGTTATAACAAACACACCCTAAGAGAGAATATTAAATAATTAAAGAAGTCTTTTTTTGATGGGCACATTCTTTTTATAACAAGATAGTTTTACGAGTTATAGTTTAACATTAAATTTTTTAGTGACATAGTTTGACATTCATTTTTATTTCCTTCCCTTGTCATAAATCTTTGTTTTGAAGAACTTACACTACATCTACTTATGATTATTTAATAGAAAATATTTGTGAAAATAGTATGCAAAGTAAAATACTAAGGTGGATGAAGAAAAGGTAGAATACTACGGAGGGCTCAGTTGTCGAGGGAAGTACACGGTTAGTTACTAATAACATATGTATTTATTTTTAAGTCATTGTTTAAAATGTCTTTAGTCTTTAGCCACTGCTTTAATAAACTTTAACTGTCCGGATGAAAATACCCTTCTGCTCATGTTCTTAATTTTTGACCTTAACTTTAGGACTTCAGGACTGCATGTCCTTAACTTTTGAACTTGTAACTCTAAGTTTAGGACTTCAGGACTACATGTCCTTAACTTTTGAACTTGGAACTCTAAGTTCAGGACTTCAGAACTACATGTCCTTAACTTTTGAACTTAACTTCAAGACTACATGTCCTTAACTTTTGAACTTGTAACTTAGTTCAAGACCAAGTGTCCTTAACTTTTGAACTTCGAACTCAAACTTCAGGACCAAGTGTCCTTAACTTTTGTACTTGTAAGTCAAAGTTGAGGAACAAGTGTCCTTAACTTTTGAACTTGTAAGTCAAAGTTAAGGACCTATAGTCCTTAACTTTTGATCTTGTAACTGTAAGTAAGGACTGCCTGTCTTTAACTTTTGTACTTGTTAGTCTAAGTTCAGGACAAAGTGTCCTTAACTTTTGAACTTGTAAGTCTAAGTTCAGGACCTATTGTCCTTAACTTTTGAACTTGGAACTTAAACTTCAGGACCAAGTGTCCTTAACTTTTGAATTTGTTAGTCTAAGTTAAAGACATATTGTCCTTAACTTTTGAACTTGTAACTGTAAGTTAAAAACTGTCTGTCATTAACTTTTGAACTTGTAAGTCTAAGTTAAGGACATATTGTCCTCAACTTTTGAACTTATAACTGTAAGTTAAGGACTGCATGCCCTTAACTTTTGAACTTGTAAGTCTAAGTTAAGGACATATTGTCCTCAACTTTTGAACTTATAACTGTAAGTTAAGGACTGCATGCCCTTAACTTTTGAACTTGTAACTGTAAGTTAATGATTGCCTTTCCTTAACTTTTGAGTTTGTAACTCTAAGTTCAGGACTTCAGGACTACATGTCCTTAACTTTTGAACTTATATGTGAGATTATCATGTTCAAGATTCCTGGTATGAATTAAAGTTTATGCTTACACGTGGTATCAAGAGCCTTGATTGTTTGAACCGTTAATCTTTGTTTACTCGTATAGTATGAGCGAGATCACCGTGGCTTTGATTGAACAAAAAATCTCTTCATCAAATCTGCAAGAACATTAATATTCATGTTTTCTCTTTTCTCCAAATTTAGAGCCTTTGTCTGTGTCATATTATTTATATTAGTTGATGTTGTTGATGATACAGTGAAAGAATAGTAGCTACTAAAAAATTAAAATAATGATTTTAGAGCTTATTTCTCCCAAACTGTTTTGACATAATGAGGACGCTTCAGGTTGCGTCAGTTACAACGTAAGTATATAATAGGTTTGGAAAGAAAAGCAATGGAAAAAAGGGTAAAGATATCTTCTCATATTAATTTTAATAAAGTAATAGCTATTTTTGTTTAACATTAGAATTGCTGGATAAAAAATAAATACCACTTTCAAATAGTGGCTACCCACGCTATTTCTTCCTCAGTTGTCACAGTCTAGTATTCTGGGCCTTAGTTCCGGCCTAATTACACCCCCAAAGTGGGCCATCTAAAGCCCACCCAGCCAGCCTAGATATCATTGATTGGGATAGAGATTTGATGTCCACGTCATTCCCACCAATCATTTCCCCCGTTAATAGATTAAAACAACAACAACAAAAAATGCATCTTCCTTATTCCCCGTTTGGTCCTTTTCTATTTAAAGTCCCTCTATAAACAATCATAAACATTTCTGTTCTCTTGTTTTCAAGCATTAACATACTGTCCAACGTAGTTTTTATTTTTGGAAAGCCAAAGGATGTTTGAATTATTTGTGCTAGGATGTACTGGTGTTGTGATGTTCCTTCATGGAGCCAATTTCTTCTTCCATGGCCTCTCTCATCATATGGCCATTCGTTCTCTCAGGTACAACGCCTTCTTTTATCTTCAATTCTGTTTTTTTTTTCCTGTTTTTGAGTTTTAATTAAGACCAGTTTAAATGGAGTGATTTGGATAGTGAAAATTCATATATCTGATCCTAGCTAGATTGGATTGAGGCAGAGTTGTTGATTTGTGTTCGATTTTATCTGAGATAATCTATTCTTCTTTGCTATCCAAAATATATGATTTTTTTTCCTCCACTTGCACTTACAGTTGATAGTTTCCATATTCTTAAAGATTTTTATTTATAAAATTGGGGAGTTATCGTAGTTTCTTGTAAGTTTAGAAATGTAATTTTAAATTTTCTGGTTAAAGTTAAAGAAGTAAGGCACACAGAAAATCAGATGTTCTTTTGGAGCATATATATGAATGATTTTTATATATATATATATATATATATAATGTTTTTTTGGCTAGTGAATGCAATTAATTTTGGTTGATCGGCCAATTATGCTTTACTTTTTTTTACGCAAAAACAACATTGAAATTTGTCCTCGATAACTTAAAAAATACTCTTTTTTGATTGAAAAAGAAAGTATTATTTCTACAACATGAAAAATACTCTTTTTGTTGCAATAAAAGAAAATACTTCTTACTTCGTCATTTTGTTGAAATGAAATAAAATACTTTCTACTACATCATGGAAAGAAAATACTTTTTTGTTAAAATGAAAAAAAAATACTCATTTATTGAAAAAAAAAATTCTATCTATAACATGAAAAAAAGTACTATTAGGGAGGGGTGGTGTGGGGGTGGGTTGGTAAGGGTTGGTGGGGATGGGGAATGGGAGGAAGGTTGGAAAAGTATTTTGAAAAATATTTTCCCTCCTGGTGATAAGGAAAACAATTTCCTTCAATTGGAGAAAAATGAGTCCATGAAAAATATTTTTCAAAATATTTAAACCAATCAAATATGAAAAAATTAAAAAATATTTTCCTTCGTACCAAACACACCCTAGAGACATCTTATTTTATTTTTGCTCTTCATTTCCCCACTTTGTAGTCTATAGACTATAGAGAAGTGTATTTATCCTTTTTTTCCCGCTAAGTGTATTTACCCTAAACTGAGCAAAATAGTGAACGATACGGCAGTTACTTCGGGTTTGTGTGATTTTGTAGAAAAATAATTAAATTTTTGGAAGAAAATAGAGTCATGAAAATATTGGGTATTTGGGGTAGCACAGGAAACATAGGGACTTGAGGAAAGGGGGCGAGAAGAGTAGCATAAAAAAATATTTTCTATCTTTTACCAAACACTAGAAAATACTTTCCGGAAAAAGATTTTCATTCACCAACAAAACAAGGAAAAATAAATAATAAAACTATTCATTTTCCATAAAAATATTTTCCTTCGTGCCAAACACACCCCTAGAATTTAAAAAGTTTTCAGAATAAATTAGGTTTCAAAGGAGTATATTTTTATGTATTGCTTAGCTGAATACTTCCCGACCACTATTTGATTTTAATATATGGGTTTAAATTTTCTTGAGTGCAGCTTCTTAGGATTTGTTGGTTGGTAAAGAAATGTCGAGAATGATGAGCTAAAGGAAGCTTACACGAACCGCCATGCTTTTTGTAAATTATATTGGTTTAACTAATTGTTTCTTTTCATTTTCATTTTAAGGCAGAGATTATTATATTGTTGTGGTCCACAATAGAAAATGATAGATAAGGGAATATATCCTGTAAATTTTAATCATTGAAAGGCTTCGCCTTGCTTGAAGTGTACTCTGCCTATTAGATAAAATATTTGTCTTTTTAATATTTTGATTGATGTTTATACTCTGTAAATACTCCGTAACTAAGAAGGTATTTGCCCAAACGGAAGTGAGTCATGTGATGAAGTGCTTCTCTTGAGTCTAACCTCTACCTAACAAAAAGAAATGTGTATTTCTTTTTGTTGTTAGATCCAAGTTTTCCACGAACTCTTTGTCTATTCGTATTTATACCAAATTAGATAATTTTATTTAAAAGTTACAAATTAAAGTAGAATACATAGTATTTATTTTACTGTGATTAAATAAAAAATATAAAAATTGAATACGGGCAAATTTCTAATATAGAAAGTTATCGTGGAAAAAATTATTAATTGGCCAGTGCCCTTAGCTATTCGGATCATGAATGTGCGTGTGGTGCCATTTCCCTTTTTTCTTTGTTGTAATTAGACCAGAAGTCGCTTTCACTTTTATCAAGTTAATTTGTGTCTCCTCAAAAAATATCACTACCTAGTAAATGACTCTTTAAATTTGTATTGGGAGTAGCGAAACGTACTTTGCACTTCTTATCAAATCAATTTTCGCCTCAGAAATAGATAAGGAGTTGATCAGTTGTCTATTACTACTCTGGAAAATGGTTTAGGCTCTCTAACCCTTATCTCCATTTTCTCCTCCAAAATGCAATAAAGTTACCTCAACAACTACTTTATTTTTTATCCCAAAAAATATTTTATTTTATATTCTTCTCTCTTCAATATTATATTATTATCTTTTATTTAAATTTTATTTTCTTATTTCTATTAATTCAAATGAAAAGAAAAATTGACGAAGATTATATGAAGATAATCCAATCAGAAAATAATCGGATTGTTGAGGCGATGAATAATGCAATCAAGGCAGAAAAAGAAGTTTTGACTATTCAAAAAGAAAACTAAGAGTAAAAGAAATGAAAGAAGAAAATAAAGTTTTAATGATGGATGTGGATTCTATTGTCGATCCGACTCGTCGTGAATTTATGCGACAAGAACAACAACAAATAATGTATAAAAGAAATCAACAATATCCACAGTCACAACCACAACAATCCTCGGCCCCATTCACTCAATACTATAATGATTTTGGTGTATCTGAAAACGACATACCTCCCTACTAAGTTATTATGCTATTTACCGTAGTTTCAATTTTTATGTATTTTAATTTAATGTATTTCCATTTAATATATTTTTAATTTTCACTTTTCAATTTTAGCAACATCTAATATTTTATATTCACACCTTTTAATTTTAGCAACATCTAATATTTTATATTTGCAACATTCATTTTTTGAGATGATTATATTTTTTGTACAATTATAACTTATAATAAAATTAACTTACAATTTTACAGAAAAATAATAAATGCGCAAAAATTAATTTATCAAAATTATACGCCAAAGTTAAGATGTAAAATTAATATTATAACGACATGACATAAACATAATTAAGTATGTATAAAGAGATAAATTAAAAGAGTTAAATAATAAAAATAATAATAAAATAATTATGAATAGTAATGGAGAAGATGAATAGTGTACCTCCGTATTTGGAGTAACACTATTCATCCCCCATTTTGGAGGCAAAAATGGAGGAGCCTTGGAGCTCCATCATGGCAAAAAATACCCCTATTGTGGAGAAATAGGGAAGGGTTGGAGATGACCTAAATTGCAGTTTTATGGTCTTGAATTACTTTGCACTCATATATTGTCCCTTCGTTCTGATTTTTTTCTTTATATGCGTGTAAAGTGTGTTTCAAAAAACATTATGTACACATACAGTAAACCAACATTAGATGAAAATAATACAAAGTAAATACCAATTTGTTAGCCAATTAAGAGTGTAACAACTAACAGTAAGTATCAATTTAACAATAAGCCAACGCCGTTTGCAAAAAATCATGTAATACATCGTTGTTGGTCATACATTGCTAACTTACTACTATAGTACTTCAGATCCTATATTAGCAACTTGTGTTTGAAATATTGCTTTAATTGGATCGAGGTGTTGGACTTCCAAACGAAGTGGGAGAGGAACCATAAGAAACTAATAAGCCTTACTTTACGAGTTCTTTGTCCTCTGTACAAGTTTCATGGGGATAGTTGAATGCTTCTATGATGAAGAGGTGTTCGGAGACGGGGCAGAGCTACAGTACGATATACAGGTTCGTATTTGTCTTAAAAAATTCATCTAATATATACAATTTATTAATTTAGATTTCAATAAATTAAACAGATTAGATTCCCGAACTCATAAAATTTAAATCCTGACTCCGCCGCTGTTCAGAGATGGCGGGTCTATCTCCTTTTGGGCGAGTTGCAGAACTACTTTTTCTTTCTTTTATTTCATCTACTAGTTATGAGCTAGCCCATGCTGAGCCCGGGCCCGAGCTCAAGATGGATAAGTAATAGTTGGTAAAAATAGCATGGGCTAGCCAGTTACGGACGGGTCATTCAAAAATAGTCAGTGTTTGCAAAGTCATTGAAACATAACCACTATTTTGCTGCAACACGGAAAGTTACAGTATAATATAGTGGAGATCGGTGTACCTGTGTAAGAACTTCTAGCATATTATGCTGGACCGATATACTATACTGGAACTCTAGTTCCAATATACTGGAGTTTCAGTATACTTATACTGGAATTCCAGTATATTATGTTGGAGTATTTTCCGAATTTTGAACAGTGTTTTCGTTCAGATTTATCTTTACATGAAAAGTGGCTAAATTTCGATTACTTTTGAAACAGTGGCTATTTTTGAATGACAACTTGTAAATCTGCCTATTTTTGAATGACAACTTGTAAATCTGGCCATTTTTGAATTTCTCAGTAATAGTTGTGATTGAATGAAAAGAATAATATGTGTTACATATTAAATTCCCACCAACTCGTTAACAGCAATCCGAACAAACTTAAATTACAAAGCAAACTTAAACTACAATCACAGATACGTATTCAGTAGACACATGTTTCTTCTTGTAAGTCAAATTTCGAATTCTTCTGCATGTTTTCCACTCTTGTATTCATCTCCTGTGAATCCCCAATCAACAAAGCTTGTGACATACTTCAAGAGAGCTGCTTCAAGTCATGTCCGTGCATATTAGGGGTGAAAAATGAGCGGGTTGGGCTGAATTTGAGCGGGTCAAGATGGGTTAGGTCAATAAATGGGTCATTGCCCAACCCAGCCCAAAGTGTACTTGGGCTAAGATGGGCTGGGTCAAGATGGGCTAAACAATGGGTTATAACCCAACCCGCCCAACTTGACCCATGTTTTAGAACCATGCTCATCTTGCATAAAAAAAGCCTTTTACCTTAAAATGTGTAAGTCGAAATTTTTTTTGGGGGTGAGGGTGGGGGAGTAGGGGTGTGGCTTTCTTTGCTGATTCCTCTCAATGAAATTTTCCATGTTGCACTAAGTTACTTACGGATGTATGCATGCGGTCCGGGAACACTTTGGGGTGAACACCCATCCGAACAAGTAGGGTCAATAGTTCAGCATTTAGGCCGTAACATTTAGCAACAAATAAATATTTAACCCAACAAGTGCTCTCCGAACCAAGCTAGATAGTCTCCTATCACTAGACTCACCAACCAACCTGGACTTTTTTTT